GGAAGAGTCATTGCCCGAAATTATTAAATCATCAACATACACAAAAACACTCAGATGAATAGCCCCATTATTCAGAGTAAATAACGAATAATCAGAGTACTATTGCAAAAATCCGTACCTTTTTAGAGAATTGGCCAATTTAGAGAACCAACATCGAGGTGCTTGGCGTAGACCATACAGGGACTTCCGAAGACGACACACCAAGCCAGATTGAGTGCCATATAAACTAGGGGGGCTTCATATAAACCTCCTCATCAAGGTCACTGTGCAAGAAAGCATTATGGACATCCATTTGGTATAACTCCCAATTTTTCGCAGCAGCAACAGCAAGAAAAACACGAACAGTGACCATTTTAGCAACGGGAGCAAAAGTCTCGTTATAATCGATACATTCAACCTGATGATTACCAAATATAACGAGACGAGCCTTCAACCTTTCAAGTGTGTCGTCTGAGTTAAGCTTGACCTTGTATACCCATCGGTAACCAAGAGCTTTCTTACCCGGAGGTAATTTTTCTAGCACCCATGTCTCATTCTTTTCAAGAGCAGTTATTTCTTTTTGCATAGCCTCTCGCCACCCCTCATACTTCATTGCCTCATTGAAGTTTCAAGGCTCAACCAATGTATCAACAGTTGCAATAAACACACGGTGCCGCAAGGAAAAATTATTACAATTCACAAAGTGTGCTAAGGGATAAGGAGTGCCTGAGGAGCATGGAGTAGACGATGAACTGGTAGGGATAGATGAACTCAGAAGAGATACAGTATGTGCGACATAATCACGGTGCCAACTCGGAGGATGTCTCTCCCTATGACCACGGCCCATAGCCGTAGAGGTAGGGGATGAAGAATGCTGAACAGCCGTGGGGCTGCTGTCCGAGGTTGCAGCCGAAACAGAGGAAGTAGCAGAAGAGGCTGCAGGTGGGTCGTTGGATGGTCTATCGTGAGGAGCAGTCGTAGCTGTGTGCTCCACAGCATGAGCAGGAGGGCTGGTCGGACTGTCGGGCACATGAGAGTCCTCACTAACCTCTAAGATGTGCTCTAAGTCATCCAGAAAGTTAAGATCCACCCCAACATTGTCGGTTGGCATGCCTTCGGGACGCACACTAGTATTAGGTGAATCACTCTTATGCACATACGGAAATTCATTTTCATAGAATTTAACATCACGTGAGACAAATATGTCACCTATTTCTAGATCATACAACTTCCAACCCTTCTTGCCATGAGGGTACCCCACAAACACGCACTTCCTACTTCTAGAGGCAAATTTTTCGCCCTTTGCTTTTTGGTTAGGCACCCAAAAACACACAATTCATCAAAATTAGAGGCGGTGCCAAAAAAAATTTCATACGGAGTTTTATCAGCTAGTAAATGGGAGGGAGTACGATTAATCAAATAAACTGCTCCAAGAAGTCAAGAACATATTCACCCCAAAAATCAATTGGCAAATTTCCTTAAAACATCAATGCCCGACTCACATTTAAAATATGCTGATGCTTACGCTCAACCCGACCATTTTGTTGTGGTGGTGGCACACAAGAGGTTTGAAACAGGATGCCATTTTCATTAAAATATGGAAGCATGGGTTTGAACTCCGTACCATTATCACTCCGTACACATTTTACATGAGCATCAAATTGACATTTAACCATAGCAAAAAAAGAGCAAAAGGAAGAGATTCAATAAATAAACCTAAACACCTCTCGAAAAATCATTAACAATAGTAAAAAAAATAGTGAGCACCACAAGTAGAGGGTGTCTTATATGACCCCCACAAGTCACAATGTATTATTTCAAAAATACGACTAGCCCTACTGTCACTATTAGGGAAACTATCCCGTGATTGTTTAGCTTGTGGACAAATTTCACATGCTTTATTCAATGATTTGCTACCAAAACTAGTACTAATAGCAGGAACTAACTTGACAATTTTATTCGACGGATGACCCATACGTCGATGCCATAACTCGAACGCAGATACCTCCGAATTTGTCACCGCACATACTTTAGGAAGTCGTCGGAAATAGTAGAGTCCATCTATTCGTTCACCGTCTCCAATCAGGCTCCCCGACCTGTATAGCACATAAAGAGTTAGTGAATTGTACAGTACAATGTGAATTATCGATCATTCTAGACACGAAAATTAAATTGCAATTTAATTGGGGAACGAATAAAACGTTCTCAAGTATAATTCCGTTATCCAAACACACGCGTCGTTCCTTTGTAGCTATTGCTTGAGCACCATTCGGTAGCCCGACAGGGCAAGGAGAAATAAAGTGCACATCCAGTAAACATAATTCATCACCCGTAACGTGATGAGAGGCGCCGGTGTCGATGATCCATGATAAAGAGAAATACTCACCCGTCATCTTGTCTTGTTGACGATTATTAACAATTGTCAAAAGAAGACGAACATGCTTGGGTTGTAGCTCCGATAAAGCTGAAAGAGTTTCCTGGGAAGGCAGAGGGGAGGCAGCAACTAGCGAAACGCCCCCACGGCATTAGCACGAGCCGTGGGCTTGCTATGATCAGACACAGACAAAGTAATAGCAGCAGACGAAGAAGGGAAGGAAGAAACCGACCTGCTGGGCACGGCTTAAGTTCCTTGCTGCGCCGAGAGAGGAGCCCCCCCACCCCCCCCCCCCCCTTTCTTCCCATATTTCTCGAGCCACCAAGTGGGATAGCCATGGAGAATGAAGCATCCCGAATTGTCATGACCCGTCCGTTTGCAGTGAGTGTAATAAAGTTTTGACTTATCGACATAGCCACCACCGCGAGAGGTAGACTGAGAAGGCCGGCGATCGGAGGGTAAAGCAAAAACGTGCGCCTCAACCTTCTCTGATTGATTATTACCCAGAGCTATACCACGGGAACGCTCCTCCTAGAGAAACGCCTGGTAAGCACGGTCAAGCGTGGTTAGTGGCTGTTCCGAGAGGAGGTTCGTACGCACCACATCGTACTTGTCATCATCAATACCAATCAAGAACTGATGCCATTTCTCCTCTTCCCTGTCCAATTCGTACTTTGCAGCGACATTACACGTGCAATGGCCACATTCACAGCCATGAGGGGGCTTGAGACGAAGAAGGTCATCGAAGAACCCCATTAGAGTAGTATAGTAGTCTTCCACAAGCATTGATTTCAATTGTTTGCAGCTCGTAATTGAAGCCCTCAATTGCTGGAGACGAGGACCACTAGCAACACAGAACCGTTGCTCCAAGCAATCCCATAATTTCTTCGCCTCCTCAAAGTACGGGATTGAAGTCGCAAGCTTAGGATCAATTGAACGCAGAATCCAGCACACCAACATCGAATTCACGGTCTCCCAATCCAACAACTTGCTTGCGTCAGTCGATTTGGAGATGGTTCCATCCACAAAGCCGAATTTTCTCCTAGATTTCAAAGCCAAGGTAATCGCCTGAGACCAAGCTAGATAATTCTCGCCCTTCAATAGCACGTGGGTTATGGTGTTGCCGGGTTGATCTCCGGCGCCAAGATAGAAAGGGGAAGAGGGATCGATCTTGCCAACATCCATTGCAAATCAATCAAACAATCGAACAAATAAAGTAGAGATTATAGAACAATAGCAAATAGAGTAGAGATAGGAAAAAAAAAATCAGATTTTCAGGGTCAATAGTATTAATTTTAGGGTTTAGAATATAGTGGCTCCGATACCATGTTAAGTTTAGAGAGAATAGAGAGAATAATGTCGTATATTTTCTATTAGAGTATGAACAAGTATATATATAACTCTGATTAGGGCTCAACACATAGGCCTGATAACTAGACACTAATATAGGGCTTAACAAAGAGACATTGTATTTTAGTTTACCCAAACAGAAAATGAGGTTTTGTATTAAGGGACGGAGGGAGTACTAATCACTAATAAGAAATATCTATCTCTTAAATAAAAACATAAATAATCTTTATTGAAAAAAGGGTAAATTAAAAATTAAGAAAGGGTTTTTTTTTTTTTCTAATTTTTGATCTTGATAACTGACTTAACTAACTACGACAAATGGATAATTAAGATTAATCGGTTTATATATAAAATAGTTTAATTATAAGTAACAACGAACCAACACTAACTATTATGAATACCCTTGTACACTACCATTCTAATTCATTTCATCTTCAACCCATTATTTCAAACATTCTTTTTTTTTTTTTCTCCTACTAGGACTAATGAACAATATGCGAACTGCTAATAATATTTCTACCCCCATCACTTTAGACTACTACTACGAGTAGAGCGTAGAGCCACCTTAACTTAAAACAAATGTGTTTAACTAGACCCACTAATATTTAGTTGAACCGGCTTACTTAGGTTGGAGTAAAATATTAAAATCATTCCTATCGATGTAACGCTTCAATCATTTAATGATAATTATACCCGTCATCAACAAAATGTGGAAATATGAACACTATTTATATTAAATAGTAAAAAAATATTCTTGAATAATGGACAAATTAAAGATTTTGAAAATAAATTGGGTGCTTATTAAGATTTCTCTCTAATGATTCTTATTAAACAGTAATAATCCTAGTATAAGTGTACACCTAAAATTGATTTTTGTTACTCGTAGTTACTAATCACTTTAAAGAAATAGGAGAAGAAATATCTCTTAAATAAAAAATAAAATAAAATAAAATAAAAAATTGAATAGAGGGCAAATTAAAGAATTTTTTTTATAAATAAAAAAAAAAAGAAAAAAAAATCAAGAAAGGGCATTTTCTAAATCTTGATCTTGATAACTGACTTAACTAACTACTACAACTGAAGATTAGTCAGTTTGGATATAACAACCCAAACACTTGCCATTATAAATACCATTCTAAATTTCTAATTCATTTCATCTTCAACCCATTATTTCAAACATTGTGTCTTTTCTCCTAAGAATCCAACAAAAATTCCATCCATCTATAGAAATCAACTTCATTAGCTTGATTCCATTACAAATCTTTCTTTAGTTCTGTTTTGCTGTTATTAACTAGTAATGGCGGGTTCGAGTTCAAGCGGAGGAGACGACGATTATACGGTTGAGGAGACAGATCCTTCAGGGGATTACACAAGATATAAAAATCTGATCGAAGAATCTTCATCAAAATCAGTATTCAAAGGATATGATAGACCTAATGGGAAAGAAGTGGCTTGGATTAAGAGATTGAAAGGAATGATCGTTGCTGAAAAAGAAGCATATCTGATGCGTTTAAATCATTCAAATGTATTGAAATGTTACTACTCTTGGGATAATCAAGAAACAAATACATTAGACCAAATTACAGAAAACTACTCTGGAAATCTGAGTGATTTTATTGAAAATCATACAAATTTCAGTGGTACATCATTAGCTGTAATACAAAATTGGAGTTTACAAATTATTGAAGCTCTTTTGTATCTTCATGAGCAACATATTCTTGTCATTCAGAATAATCTTAGGATCGAAAACTTATATGTTGTTGGAGAATCTGGAACAGTTAAGATTGGAGATCTGAGTGATGCAACGTTCATAACTACAGAAGCTTTGTTACAGATGGAGATGGAAGCAGGTGATCCTGCAACTGATGCAGCTGGTAGGGCAATGCAAGAAGAGATACAACGATTTGGACAATGCGTCCTTCAGATGGTGACCAAAAGTTTGAGGGGTAAACTGATCATAGACAAACAATGCAAGAATTTCATAAAAAGTTGCTTCCTGCCAGGAGATACACAGCCGACACTTGAAGAACTATTGCACCAAGCTATGCTATAAGAGGAGGTCGTAGTGGTTCATTACCGATGTTGTCTGCAACGGAAATCGGCGGAGAACGTCAGAGGTACATTCTTAAAGGAAGATCAGATGATAATGGGTTGATACATATGACATTGAAAATGAGAAACCTTCGCCATCAGTTTAGTTTCTCACTTGGGCTTAATAGAGTTCTACGCGTCATGGAAAGTTTGAAAGAACATCTTGACCTATCTGATGATGAAACCGCATCAATTTCTGATGGTATGGGACAGCTTTTAACAGTTTTTGTGTCTCAATATGGCTTACATGAAAGGAGAACTGTTGTAATATCAGGCAGTGCTTCATCTCTTCGGATAGCTGCGGAGCAGCAGAATCAGGAACAGCAAGCAGGGTGAATTGTCTGATTGGTGCACATAAGATGAGGGAAGTAGCAACAGGAAGACAGAATATAGTTGCTTCAGAAATCTGTTATATCTTGGCATGTCAGTAGCTTATTTCTTTGCTTATCAGTTTGATTGTTTAGTACAAAATTAGACTTTCGTTTATGTCATAAATGTTCTGAATAAATCTAGGTATGTTAGTGATACTTAGTGTGGCAATAAGTATGATTTCTCAGTTTTAGGTCCAACTGGGATTTAATTGTTTCGTTTCTTGATTAATTTTTGTTATAAATTGAACGCGGGAACAAAAACAGAAAAACAATGTTACCGAGAATAAGACTGAGTCGCTCTCTTTAGAACATTCGCGGCACTGCCTCAAACTTGTGCAAGCAGCTCGTACCAAACCGGATGCCCCCCAGGATAAAACAGTCTGTCAAGTATATAAAATACCGGCGGTTTTGCACCGAACCACCGGACAACGAAACACCAGAAAATCTGAAAGAAACTGCTCGATTGTTTTGAGAGAAAGAGAAAATATATTTTGCAAAGTGTTGTTTTCTGTGTATTTAAAATGTTCATCCGTTAAGCAAGGAATTGAACCCGAACCCAAACCCGACCCAGCCCAGCCCGGCCCGGTTCGACGCGTGTGATAGATGGTTTACCATATAGGTCCTTCCTCTCCACAAAATGTGGGTAGCCCAAGGGCCACACCCCTTTAGCCCACTCTCTATATTATAAAGAGAGTAAAACTCTCATTTCCCACCAATGTGGGACTTTGAGTTTTTTCACAAAATTCACACACTACACACTTGTTGTTCCAACAATTTTCATTGTAATTGTGTGATTTAGACGTATGAACATTGGTGTATGTGTTAGTTATAAGATTTTAATAAAAGCAGAAACTCTGCAATTTGTTTTTCTTTCTTTATAATTAGTAGCTTCTATGTCCTTTTTTTTTTTTTTTTTTAACTTTTTAATCCTTTCATCTCTTCACTAAGCACGGGCTATAAATTTATGTCACTATAATTCTTTCAATAAAGCGTTCAACTTGAGCGGGATCAAGTTAGTGTGAGCAATTTGAGTTGGTTGAGTAGAATCCTTTGATTAAAGTGCTCAACTTGAGCCGGATGAAGTTAATAGGACCAATTTAGTCGAGTCGAGTTATGTTGTGTCATGTCATCTTGAGTATAATAACGTCAATCTAATATATAATTCGATAATCTAATGTATTTTAAGTTGCAACACACAACTCTACAAATGAATTTGATTATATAATACGTAATCAATTGAATTGATTGGATTTAATGGTGCATAAGTTTGGTTTTAATACGTGATTAAATTTAAATTATTGTGTTTTGTAATATACATTAAATGACTTGATATTTACTAAACTTAAATTATTTTGACGTAAAATTATTTTCTTCAAATAACAAGAATATGGCCTAAGGTGACATGATGAGTAACTAACCATGCTTTTGGGGAAAAAAACAAGGAAAAATTTACAAAATAATCCCACCTTTTGGAAGTCTTCTCAAATGGTCCGAATTATAAAAAAATCTGGAAATAATCCCACCTTTTAAGGCTATTTTCTTAAAAAAAAAAATAATGAAATAAAAAAAAATCAGTCCATCGGCTCATCTCAGCCATTTCCATCTTGATTAATGGACAAACTAAAGAAATTTTATATCATAATTTGAAAATAAATTGAGTGTTAAATAAGATTTCTCTCTAATGATTCTGACTAAACAATAATAATCATTCAATCATTGTATAAGTGTTCACCAAAAAACGATTTTTGTTACTGGTAGTTACTAATCACTTTTAAGAAAAAGGATAAGAAATATCTCTTAAATAAAATTAAAAGGCCAAATTATTGAATTTTTTTTTTACAAAAAAAAAATAAAAAATCAAGAAAGTGCATTTTCTAATTCTTGTTCTTGATAACTAACTTAACTAACTACAACAAATGGATATATTGAAGATTAATCGGTTTATATATAAAAATGTATGGTTTGATTATAAGTAACAACCAAACACTTACCATTATAAATACCCTTTTACACCACTATTCTAATTCATTTCATCATCAACCCATTATTTCAAGCATTCTGTTTTTTCTCCTAATAACCCAACGAAAATTAGCTTGATTCCATTGCAAATCTTTCTTCAGTTCTGTTTTGCTGTTGTTATTAACTAGTAATGGCGGCTTCGCGCTCACGAGGAGGACACGATTATACGGTTACGGAGACAGATCCGACAGGGCAATACTCAAGGTACAGTAAGCGCATTGATCAGGGAGATCTTAAAGAAGTTTGTTTGGGATATGATAAGACTAATGGCAGAGAAGTTGCTTGGTGTAAGAAATTTCTAAGAACTAATAATCTTGATACTTTGATTACAGAAGCTGAGTTGTTGAGGAATTCTGACCATGATAATATAATCAAATGCTTCTATTATTTTTGGGTCGAAAGGAAAATCGAATTAGATACCAAAGTTGAGTTTAACATGATTACTGAGCTTTATTCTGGGAATTTGAGGGACTACACTCAGAAACATAAGGTTAAAGAAAATAATCCAGCAATCAAGAAATGGTGTCGACAGATTCTGACAGGGCTCGATTTTCTTCACAGTCAAAATATACCGATTATTCACAATAATCTCAAGTGCGAAAACATCTTTGTTGTTGGTAAATCAGGCACGATTAAGCTAGGAGATTTGAATGCCGCAGAGACTCTTGTACTGACTAGTCCAGAGAATGATGATGCTCGTATGATAGCGCGATCTGAGGTATACTGTCTTGGGTTGTGCGTACTACAGATGTTGAGAGACGAAAGATTGCGTACAATGGATTTTAGCCTATTAAACAGAATACAAGACCGACAGCTTAGGAACTTCATTCAGAAGTGTGTGTATCCTGCAGATATCAGACCTACAATAACTCAACTCCTGAATGATCCGTTTCTGTTACCGAGGACTGCGCCTTCTGGCTATACACCAGTACCAGCTACTAGCCCCCCGAGAGCTCAGCCTGTATTACAACCGCGGTCTGCAACAGAATTCGATACAGAACATAGGAGATTCACATTACTGGGAGAGAGGATAGACAGAGAACTGATGGCAGTGACCTTGAGGACTACTGAAGTTAAGAATACTAATTTTGTGTTCTCGCTCAGAACTGATACAGTTCCTTATATGATGGATGTAATCACAGCAGAAGTTAATACTGGTGCAGACGTCGAATTGATGTCTCATACTCTGGAACGACTGAGGTTCTACATAGCCAACATAGGACTAGGAGGTCCGCGACTTGATGAGCCTCAAGAAGATAATATTAGTGAACCTCTCGAGATTAATGTTGTTATTGAAGAACAAGTACGTGAGGCTGATGGTAATGTAATCAACAACAGTAACGCAGCTGCTGCAAACTCTGAGGGTGATATCGACGACAGTAACATAGATCTTTCTTTTGAAGAAGCCTGACTGATGGCAGCAGAAATCCCAAGGTTCTGATCGGAGTAATTACGATGAGGGAAGTGGCAACAGGAAGACACAATGAAAAGTAAATTTTAGACTCATCAGTTTGATTGTTTAGTGCAAAATTAGACTTTGGTTTATGTCATAGTACATAAATTTTCTGAATAAATCTAGGTATGTTAGTGATAGTGTGTCAATAAGTGTGATTTAGATGTATGAACATTGGTGTGTTAGTTTTAAGATTTTAATAAATTTGAGACAATTGCAATTTGTTTTTCTTTCTTTATAATAGTATCTTCGCTCCATGTACAATTTCTTTACTTTTCAATCCTCTCATCTCGTTACTCTATAACTTACTGTTAAGCGTCTAACCTACTATTAATCGTCTCAAGAGTTGGTTAGTTGAGGCTAACTTGACTGTTTATGCAACCTCGCTCAACTCCTCTAACATTCAATAAGCGTCAAACTTACTATTAATTGATCGCATTGGTCCTTGAAGCAATTAGGCTCAATCAAACTTATGTTTCAATAAAATCAGAACTTTAATGTAAGATAAACTAGAACGTACCTATTTCATGTGACGAAAAGTATACTTAGATATTTTGGAACCTAACAAAAAGGAAGATTAGATGAAATGTAAGTATATGTTAACCGCTAATAATATTTCTACCACTAATAAATGGTACTAATTAACAATATTATGTGATAAAAAAATGTGTTTAATTAGATCCACCAATACTTTAATGATTAGGGAATAATATAAATTCATTTAAAAAAATCATTAACGAAAGGTAGAATTAAAAATTAAAAATCAAGAAAGGGCATATTCTGTTTCTTGATCTTGATAACCGACTTAACTAACTACTACTAACGGATAAACTGAAGATTAATCACTTTTAATATATCTTGGTTACAAGTAACATCTAAACACTAAACTATTTTTATAAATAGCAATCTACATTACTGCTATAAATCATTTCATCAAATATTCTGTTTTTACTTCATAACTAACAAAAGTATCATCAATAAAAATCACCCTCATTCCATTACAAATCTTTCTTTAGTCTGTTTTATTGTTCTTAGTTAGTACTCTGCAGTAATGGCGGCTTCGAGTTCACAAGTAGACGAACTCAAGATCGTGGAGAGAAACCCGACAAGGCAATTCGC